TAATAAGTCAATTCTAGCTCTCTACTCTTCCTTGTTCTGTTGAATGAATAAATAATAATTGCAGTGGGTGGCCCTTTGAAAACACGACAAAACTAAGCGAGAAAATAATAATATTAATTAGACTTTCCTTTTTGGCATTTTAGTACATACCGTTCATATTGACAAAACACAAAATTTTGATATCTTTTATATACACGAAAAAAAAAAAGTGAAAATAAGATATTTTTAACTCTTAATATATATATATTTTTTACCAGAGGGAAATTGGAGGAAAAAAAAATAGTTATAATATTACTACATTGACAGCTTTAATCCTTGATAAAGAAGTCAAGGTCTTTAGTGCACTGCCATCGCGGCTAAAGCCGCAAGTGCTAACTCTTAATATTTAAAATATCAAGGTTATTTATAAAATTATTTAAATATTATTTTTTAAATAACAAAAAATAAATTTTTATTACTTGAAAGTACAAGTATACTAGAACCCATTACACAATTCACAACAGCTATTTAGTGAATTTTTCAAATGATGATTATTTGTTTATTGATTATTAAAGTACTACTTCGCAAAGAAAATAAGTTATTCAAATATTTTTAATAATTATATATATTAATTTAATAAAAATATTTAAATATTTTTATTATCACATTTATTATTTTAATTGATAAAACGTTCTAATTTTTTTATAGTTCCTTAGACCAAAATGCTTAATATTACTATCATTAAGCTCAAGTTGAGGTCCACACAAATCAATACTTGATGATTGCCACAATCCTACAGAACGCCTGATTCGGAAGTTGTTGGACCATCAAATTTGCCCCAAGGGTTGGGTTTTCAATTTTCAATTGAATTAATCATATCCTTCTATCTCCTACATTATTATTGATTGACTAACATCAAATTTCTGCGGTGCTTATGGCGATACGGTTAATTATTATATATAATCACATAATTTATTTTTCCTATCATTTTATAATTTTTTTAAACAATTAATTAAAATGATTAAAAATATTTATTTATAAATTAATTTTAATTTATTAAATAATAAATATAAAAACTTTACTAATTATTAATTATTTTTAATAATCAAATTAAAATAAAAATTAAACAAATCGTGTGACTTGAACAAATGACTGTGTGGCTATAATCATTGCCTTAATTTTGAAGATACGAATAAAAGAATGGTAGCTCTTAGAAGAGCATATAATCATCATTTTAAGGGCACAACTTTACTAATATTAAGAATTGAATCCACTGATAAGTATTATTTTGAAAAACAAATTTGGAATTCAAGTTTTAGAATTAGTCCTTAAAAAATTTAATTTTTTTAAATTTATAAGATCAATGTAGAGGTGTAATCTTAAAAATTACCTTATGAAAGATTAATTTGAATGTATACGAATAGAAAAACACCTTAATAATTAATAAATAAATAAATAAATTATAATGTGCCTTGGTGGCTGCAGAGGAATGTACCAAGTTCTGACCAATGGTCTGCTAAGAAACCTTAGCTAGTTATCTCTTTCGAAAAATATCCACCTCTTGTTGGGGCGTTTGCACTGTTTTGATGGCCCAACAATATTGTATAATTGAGTTTAACCTGTGCTAAATTCTAAATACATCGGATAGAAAGAAGATGATGACTGCATTCGCAGGTGGGTGTAACTGTTAATTGCATCATACACTTTAATTATGGAATCCAACAAACAGAATGATATGCAGATTGGAATATTGTTCAAGTTATGTTTTTGGTTGTAGCTGGATATGTTTGTGAAACAAGAGGGAAGCCCACAAAAAACTTGTATCTTTGTTGGGTTACATCATGCACCAAAGGCTGAAATTGGAGGAGTACAAAGATTGAAAAGGAATATAGGATGCGGATTTCATCCTCATATTACCATATCATTTAAAAGGAGGAGAGGAGACTCATTGTTTCTGAGATGACTTTAGTGAAGATCATATGACCCATAGCTGATGATAATGAACGTCGAAAATGGGAAAACAGGGAACTCATTATCATACAGAGTTTCATAAGGAGACTGAAATAAAAATTAAGCAAAGTGAAAGAATCAAGCACTAATTCTGGCTAGCTTCCACTACTACTAGCAACAACGTTGTTTAGATCATCTCATCACATGCTCCTTTGATACCTTTTTCCCTATCACACAATGTCTTAAACTTGAGTACTTTATCCATCCCCTCCCAACCTTCTCCATGCTGCCTTTGCCTCTTGTCCTCCTCTGCAACTTCATCATCGATCTTCAACTTTGTTTAATTACTTGCCTCTTGTTATTTTCTAGCTGACCCACAAAGTGATATGATTTCAGTGGCAAAATGGGATTCCCAGCGGAAAGAATAATCCGGTGGTCCAAAGTCCAAACATGAAATTTGCCACATGATTTCGCACTAACACCTCCACACGTTACCAATCGACCCTTTCGGCTTTATTTTATCTGTGAATGAAGTATCTTGATCCTATCCCCAAAAATATGATTCATTGATCACTTCCTTGAACGTGCATTATGCCCTTTTTCTTTTGTGTTGTGTCTACTTCACAAGCAACAATATATGGCTCTGCTATGGTCTGTACGTACAAGGAATGAAGTGTCCCCTTAATCATAATGTCCCTCACACAACACTTGGACAGAACATGAGCACCAACATAAATTTTCTAGAACATACATATTATTTTCCGATGCAATTTATCAAATTTCAGATATGCTAGCTTTTGAAGGCCTTAGAATATCTTCTTCTATGTTAATATGAAGTTTGAACCATTTTTTGAAGATTGTGGTGAAATGTTGGAGAAAGTTTTCGATGTAATAGGGATAACAAATCATAGGTTCCCACCCATGAAATTTACTATTTTAGCAAATTCTTAGACATATTAGAGAAACTATGACATAACTATTGACTAGTTCCCTACATAATAATATATTAATAATGATGATAAAATAATAATAATAATAATAATAATAATAATAATATATTAATAATCTTTGACAGATACTTTAACAAGACGGATTTCGAATAGTTGGAATCAATTTCTACAAGAAATTATTAGTTAGAATAAATACCAATAGTGTGATATAACTGTTGCACTAAATAATTTTTCTAGATACCAATGTTAAGGTATCCCTAGACCCTCTTTTCATTTTCCAACTTTGATTTCTTGTTCTTTCTTTTAGTTTTATGCATGCACTTTCAAAAATCCACCATAGATTCGTATTGTCTTTTTCTCCTTAAAAGTAAGGCAGCAGGTTGGGCCTTTGTTAGGTCTTCATATCATAAAGCCTTAAGCCTAATCCATTTCCTCTAATAATGGAATAAAGTTGCAGCAACAAAGTCTTCAAAAGAACTAAAGTTGGCAGTTCATGAATCCAGCATTGGAAGATAATAATGCATTTTCAATTAACAAATCATGATCGGTACAGAGTGGATCCGAATATCTTTGACAAGTGCACGGATGAGAAAAAAGAACAAATATAAAAAGCAATTAACGAATTCGTCGCCATAATCCACAAGAAGAAAAAGGGAGAAGGAAATGAAGGAAGGTGGCTACAGGGGAAGAAGAATGTGGGGGTGGTTAGGGATTTGCTTATATCTAGAGCATCCCCTATTGGTTATCATTTAAATGGATGTTGAAATGCCATTTGGTTTTGCACCAATGAATATACCTATTCTTTTTCTTTTTTTTTTAATGGAATGAATATACCTATTGTCGTTATCAATAAAACCTATTCTTGTTACATCAATAGTAAAATAAGCTCAGGAAGCTTATTGAGTTCAAAATCAAATTAGAGATCGATTTAATTGAAAAACAAATTTGAATATATTACAGATTACTCTCGAACTCTTTTTTTATATAATAATATATGTGAGAGTTCATTATTTTACAATTTAAATTATTTTTTACTGTAAAATAATAATTCTTAGATAGAGGAAACTCTAATATTAAAAGATTTATCCCTTATTCAATGATAAATATTTTACAATGCAAAACAATTCGAATTATAAATTAGTTCAATATTATTTTTTTTAATAGGATTACATGTCAGAAGGTTTTAAGAAAGTGGAGGAATTGAACTTAAGTTTAATGAGAAGGCCTACGTGGGGAGCAACCACTTGCTCTATCCATGGCTTCTCAATTAGTTCAATATTGTGAATTGAATTAGTTGTGAGCTTTCATCCAGCTAATCATAAGTAGCTTAATTCACTAATAACCCTATTTAAGACTAGAAGGCTCTAATTTGGTCACAAAGGAAGGTACTCATTGCTTACCTTCAAACATTTTAAAAATCTATTTGATTTGAAAGAAATGAAAAAGAGTAAAACGACAAAGATCATTTCATCCAATTAAATCAGATCATTAAGCTAACATTTTTTTTTTATTAACCTTCTAGTATATGATAATCACATTGGGTTTCGATTAATCCGAAATCGAACCACATTGGACCCCATTAGGAGAAAACTCTCTCAACACCTATTTCTCCATTCATAAAACTCAAATTCAAAACTTTACTTAAAAAAGAACCAAATTCACCAATGGGTCATTAATAGGTAACATTCTAATTTGCTATGATAAAATGATCTCTTCTTCCTTCTACTCTTGTCCACTCAAACAGGCCCAAAACTAATATAGCATTTACAGACTATACCCATCATTTACCCCAAAAAAATCTAATGGACCTACCCTAAATTGGAGGCCCGAATATTTCTGGACTCTTCACGGGCCTAAAACGAACAGTAAAACTATAAAAATCTTGCCGTCCTGGGGACCTCAAAATCGGATCTTGTCAGTTAGGGAGTCAATGTTAGAGTGGGCCAGCAAAACAACTCCCACCGTCAATTTGTCGCCCCCCGATCCTCAATCGACGGCATATGATCCTCACCTACATCGCATCATCCCGTACACAATCCTAGCACCCCACTCCACACCCTTTGCATTTTCCTTCGGAATCCCAAGAAGAAACCCCACGTTGCATTAAAAACGCCACGCCGGCCCACGGCACCCTCCGACTCCGTACGGTTTTTTGAATTTAAAAATTTCTTCCCCTTTCTCCACTCCATTTTCACCCCATCTCTTTTTCAGCTCATTCTTAAAAGGAAAAATTTATGAGTGCTCTCCACTTCTGGAGTAGGTGAAGTCTTCTCTCGAAATCCATCTCATTCTTAGCTTCGAGAAATTTGAGCTCCAATGGAGTTTCCGTAGCTCTGTTTTTCTTCGAGTAGAACAAAGATCTCTGGCTCGGCCGTGTTCTTGTTTCAGGTACTCTCTTCTACCTTCGTTTTTTTTTTTTCTTTTTTCGTTTTGATTTTGATTTTATGTTTTGATTTCTACTTGTTTTTCTGCTTGCATTTTAGTTTCTCGAAGAATTTCTACTGTATATTTGTTTGGTAAAGTTATAGCTCATTTGGTTGTTTTAGAATCTGATTATTGTTATGGAAGTAGAGTGCAGATGACGCGAACAGTTACTAATTATCGTGAGAAACACTGTGGAGCTTAAACTTGAACTTCGGATCTCTGTGAACGCAGTCTTCAGCTAAATATCGAAATTAATCGTTTTTAGGTTCAGTTTTAGGCATTTCTGTTGTGTAATAGTGTCTAGCTGTGTGTACCGGTACAATTTGTTGCTGTTTTGGCTACGGTTCGCATGGAAAGTGTGGTTGAAGGGCTTGATTTTCGTTCTTGTTATAGAGAACTGGACACTTCTATAGGTTTATTGTGCGATTTGCTGGAAAAAATTGTTAGATAAGCAATTGGTGTGCATGCACACAAATTTTGATTTGGTATGCTTGGAAATGCCTGCGTTGGCATGTATGGAAACTCATTATTATTGTACCGTTGTTGATTGTTCTTCACATTTTTACTAGTAAACTCATTCGTTTTCTGTTGTTTCTGTGTTTGTTTAGGTGCTTTGAAAATTATTCAGTTTTCTTGTACCTTGTAAAATGGAGCAGTATGAAATACTGGAGCAGATTGGAAAAGGATCTTTTGGTTCTGCTCTTCTTGTGAGGCATAAACATGAAAGGAAAAAGTGAGTATGCTTGGAGCTTCTTCTCACCCTTACACCCTCTTACACGTATAAAAACTGCTTTATAATATAATGTATGGAGTTATTATTCTTCCATTTTTAATAGAAAATGTGGAAAAATATAGTGTGGTTATTGCTCTTTGCAAGATTTAAGTTTATTATCTTTCCTTCTAGATACGTGTTGAAAAAGATTCGTCTTGCTCGCCAAACTGATAGGGCCCGTAGATCTGCCCACCAGGAGGTCAGTAAACTCTAATGTTTTTATTGTAAAATAAAGTGAATGGAACTTTGAGTCATTACTTTTTCAAGCAGTGAGGCTAGATGCTTAAATTGGGTTCCTCCCAACTTAGGAGCCATTTTTTGGTGAATGATATCTTGGCTTAGTGAGTTTGTGCAATTAAAAACTTAGAATATAATCTACCTTATTCTCCATCCCCTTGTCCTATTTTCTTCTTCCATAAATAGCACATTTGATATGTGAAAGTGATGTATGATTTTAGTTATAAGATGTTGTGCTGCTTTCTATACTGCAGATGGAGCTGATTTCTAAAGCTCAAAATCCATTTATTGTGGAGTACAAAGACTCTTGGGTGGAGAAGGTGAGAAATTTTGTGGATCCAATATTCTCTTATTAGTTTGTAGGCATCAATTTATCTTTTTCTTGTCTCACTGCTGTAGGTCTTATTTTATACCTTTTTTAAGCTTCACATGCCATAAGTTACTTCATACTCAGAAAGTGTTTTTGCTTTATTGTTATTCCTCATTTCTGAATGTCTATTTTTTCAGGGTTGCTATGTTTGCATAATTATAGGTTATTGTGAAGGAGGAGATATGTAAGTATATTTGTTACTTAAATGAATCATTTTGCAAACAATTTTACAGTTTCTTGGGTATGACCTGTTAAGCTGGTATTTTCTCATCTTATTTTAATTTCCATTTTTATTTTTAATATATAGGGCGGAAGCTATAAAAAGGGCCAATAGTGTTCATTTTCCTGAAGAGGTAGCTAGTCTCTGTCAAAATTTCCCTATCTTTGCTAATCTACGTCTCTAATTGCTTCTGGTGACTTAGCTAACTCCACTGTTTAGTGTTTCATAATTGGAAGATAAATTATGTGCAGAAACTTTGTAAGTGGCTGGTGCAACTTCTAATGGCCCTTGATTACTTGCACAAGAACCATATTCTTCACCGTGATGTCAAGGTCAGTGGCATTTCTTTGTGATGGGCTGGGCAGTTTGCATATGTTATCTTCAAAGCAATTTTTGCCTTACAGTATTGCAAAATTGTTTCAGTGTTCAAATATATTTTTGACCAAAGATCAAGACATCCGTTTAGGTGATTACTCCTATCAAATTTGTTAGTTTTTAAAATCAAATTAGTTAGTTAAACTTGCACTAATACTTACAAATTCTGAGTTACACCTAATAACTTTCTGACTTATGCATGTTGGATGCAGGTGATTTTGGTCTTGCTAAGATACTGACTTCTGATGATCTTGCTTCATCGGTAGGGTATTATAGTTTTATGTTATGGTGTTGGATTCTTTCACCATCTACTTTATCTTATTTCTATGGTTTTTTGCTTCAAATACAGGTTGTGGGAACTCCTAGTTATATGTGTCCTGAGCTACTTGCTGATATACCATATGGTTCCAAGTCAGACATTTGGTCTTTAGGTAAACTACATTCTTTAAAAAGATATGGATCTCATCTGTGTCTTCAATATCAATTATTCTGTATTTTTAAGCTTATTTAATGTCTTGTGCAATTGCAGGATGTTGCATGTATGAGATAGCTGCTCACAGGCCTGCATTTAAAGCTTTTGTAAGTTGCTCATTTGTAGCTAACTAAGATCATCTCTATCTCCCTCTCTCAACATTAGATGACAATGTTGTGCCACAGTTGTGGTTGTTAAATGAAGAAGAATAAGAACATTTAATCATATTCACCTTCTCTCTCTCTCTCTCTCTCTCTCTCTCTCTCTCTCTCGCTCTTTGTTTTGTTATTTAAGTATACCACAATGATAATCTAAATGTTGGGTTATGAGGAAGTTGATCATTTCAATTTGTTACTACAAATGCAAATTAGTTGCCATGGAAAGATATGGTTTTTCTATAGTTAAAAATCTTGGCTTCATTGCAGATTCCTGGCTTCTGTCACCTTTCACCCCCAGTCGTCATTTTACTGAAAGTGTAATATCTATAATATGACAAACATGAGTCATTACTACCTGATCTTGAATGTTCTAATCTTGGTTGTAGTCATGCTCTGAAATGATAAAATTACGTCAAAGGATTGGGCTCAATCTTTTTTAACATCGTTTACAAAATCTAATAGTTTCACACCTGTTTTGCATTTGGTAAAGAACTTAATCATTACCTTCTCTTTGCCTTCTTGTCTAAACAGGATATTCAGGCTCTGATTAACAAAATAAATAAGTCTATAGTGGCTCCTCTGCCAACCATGTACTCTGGTGCATTGTGAGTTGTCTATCCTTTAGCATATTCTAGTATCATCTTTTAAGCACCATTTCACTCTTTTATAATTCAGTTGCCTAGTGGAATCTTACCATATTGTAAAAAATAATGCCATAATAATAATCACAAATTTACAATTATCTCTGTTCTGAATCCTTTGTTGATACACGAGCAATCTTCTAATGGCATGTATTTTACTTAGTTCAATAAAGTGCTCAAGTCAGTGTAATAGTTTCTTATGTATTTTCTTTTCCCCTCTTTCAGCCGTGGACTCATAAAAAGCATGCTGCGGAAGAATCCAGAACTTAGGCCTAGCGTAAGATTCTTTTCCCTTGTTTGATATTATTTACTAACACTGAGAAGTTCCCTTGAGAGTAGAAAAAATGGTTTATAGAAATCATTATTCATGCTTGCTTTTCCATTCACATTGTGGCGGAACCTCATTAATCATTTATTCATTTAATATGGTGCCACAGACTCTGGGCAGTCCGTTAAACATGTTTTCTGGCCTAAAGTATATTGCATTTGCATTTTCACCTTGTATGTCCCAGAAGAGTTGGGTGTGCCAATGTAACTGTAGTCTCTGGTTATCTCACTAATTATTTGGATTCATTATGGTTTAGATGTGTGGTTAGAAATAATCCAGTTAAGTATGAAAGATCTTATGTGCCTTTCAATAATAAAATCTGGCATCTGGTGGCATAAGCAGTCCATTGTATTAGCATGCAAGGGAAACTTTCCACTTTATCTCAAATCTGTAATTGTGTTTAAACAGATTTGTTGATCAAGTCTTTAATTTTGAAAATTTTGGCTTTCAAGTTGACCTGTGTAAGATTTTCCAAAACAAAACCATAACAAAGTCCTTGCTGTATCATATAGGCCTATTTGACTTTTGCTGTATGTTTGTTGATTGAAATTATGGTTTTTGTGAATTTAAAAGTATCATCTAATTATCCTTTCTATCAATCTATTAACCTCAATAAGATGAAATCATTTTCAGGCTGCTGAGTTGCTTACTCACCAACACCTTCAACCTTATGTCCTTGAAGTAAATTTAAAATTGAACAGCCCTAGACGGAGCAGCTTCCCAGTCCGCTGGTCTGATTCTAACTTCATAAAGAAAACTAGATTTGTAGATCCTGATGATATGCCGGTTCTTAATTACAGAGAGAGAAGGCTGTCAATCAGCAATGATAGGGCCTTAAATCCTAGTGTTTCTGGAACCGAACAGAACTCTTGTTGTTCTACACAGAGGGAACATGATATTCCAAGTTATTTGAATCAGAAGTTCACAGAATTTTCTGTTGGTGTTGACCATGAAGTAATTGAGAAGTCAATAGCCACAAATTTCTCCACTGTTTCGAAGACTCCAAGACTGACACCAGCAAAAGTAATTGCTACCCCAGGGAGACATACAACCCCATCAAAGATATGCCCTAGTCGCCAAAACCGCAATCCTGTAAGTATACATGAATGCTAAAAATAGTTTTCATTTATATCTCTCATTGTTGATGTGCTGTGAAGTAGCATCTCGGATCATAATTTGCCCAAGCCATGGAACCAAATAGAATATCATAACACTTAAGACTTGCCCACTGTACACTTTTTACTGCTCCTGGAAATTTCTGATATGCCCTACTGTTTAATTGATGTACACCACCTGTATGGGTTTTATGTGTTCCTCATGGGAAAACTATGATTGATTCTTGAAATCCTTTTGTTCTTTGGTCATATTTGAACCTGCGGTGCTAAGTCTTCTGCAAAGACGGGAACCAAATAAACTCAAATGTTTCTTCTAGAATCTGATAATAATTGCAATTTCTCTCGTTACATAATGTATTTAATGATATGATAATGTTGTACGTGCAGCTTCCAGTATCACATACCCCCGCAAGTAGGTCATCTCAGGCATCAAGAAGAGTCTCCCTTCCACTGCCAACAAGAACGGCAGTCCCAATGACCCCTTGTAGAGCTAATATTGGTCTGCTTCCCACCGAGTCTATAGATGTTTCTGTCAATGCCCCACGAATTGACAAGATTGCGGAATTCCCTTTAGCTTCTTACGAAGATCCCCTTTTGCCAATCCGTGCCACATCCTCAACATCTGCGAAGTGCTCTTCTTCATCAATGGACAGTGCTGACCCTTCTATCACAAAGGACAAGTGCACAATCCAGGTTGTGGACAAATCTGTTACCAGGTCAAACTGCACTGATGGAAGCTGTGGAGGTTCCGTAAGGGAGAGCAAATGCTCAGAGCATAACCGCACTGCCAGCCATTCATCTTCTGAATCAAGACAGCAGCGGTTCAACACGTCATCCTACCAGCAACGTGCGGAGGCATTGGAGGGACTGCTCGAGTTCAGTGCAAGGCTTCTACAACAAGAAAGGTATGAAGAGCTTGGGGTGTTGTTGAAGCCATTTGGACCTGAGAAAGTTTCTCCTAGAGAAACAGCCATTTGGCTTGCCAAGAGCTTCAAAGAAACTCAAGTATAAACCAGAACTCCTAACATTCTCAAATGATAATTGCTACCTCATTGTAAATTTCCACCCACTTTCTGGTACTGGAATACGAAGGAAAATTACGTCAGTCTTCCTACTCAGAAGACTGCAAGCTGGTGGAAATGTGGTCCTGGTCCTTTAGCCATAAGGGTTACTTCCTACTTCCTTCCTTTTCCTTTTTTCAAAATGGTGTCTGTTTGAACAATGTAATTTTAGAAGAAAAGGAAATGTTTGAATTAGAATAGAAATTGTGGAACATTATGGTATTTTGATAATTAAAGTGTTAAAAAAATAATAACAAGCTATAAATATTATAAATAAAGTAACACAAAAAAATTTATTAAAAATATTTGAACAAGTTTATAAATAGGCATGACATTTTGATTTTTACTTCTTAAAATTTTAATTAAAAAAATGAACTTTTAATTTGGGTTCGAAAGTTTACTTTTGTCATTAATGAAAACTTTCTTGTCTGGGTCCAATTTTCAAATGATTTGTCTCATTTTAATTTTTATAATGTTACAATTATAATGTTATCTAAGATTGTAAGCTTGCAATTATAATATATAATTAAATGAGTAGATATATATAATATAAATAGTGGTCTTATTAAATGAAAATAGTTAATTATATAATAACATGATAATATAAATTTATAATATTATATAATATTATAATTATTTCTTTTCATTTTAAGTTTTAGTGATTGAATCCAAATGACCAAATGTATTAATGGTTCTTACAAGACTTAAAGCAATGTCGTTGGCATTCCTCTGTTGTAGCTCATTGGTGATCACTACAGCCCAAGGGTTATTAGTGGATTGTATTATAATCCGTGGTCAAACCTTGCCAAGAAAAAGGTACTAACCTAACTTTTAATCTTTAATTTCTAACCATTACCCTGTCAAAAAAAAAAAAAAAGAGCAATGTCGTTGAATTAAGCTTGAGTTAGGGATTTTGGACTCCAATCAAATTACACTGTAAATTAAGGGGCCTTTGTGCATCCTTTAAAAACAATGATGCCAAATTGAAGTTAATTTCGCGCTCAACTCCCGAGTCCGTAACCCATTCCTAAAGATGGAGGAAGACGAAGTCCTAGAACTCTTCGAGATCCAGCACTCCGATCTGAAGCTTCTATCGTCGCCACCATCATGTTCGCGCCTAGAGAAGATGATAATGGAGAACCTGGGCCCAACGGGTCCTGGTCTCCTCGCCGTCACCGGCGTCCCCAATGCTTCTCTTCTACGGCGGAAGCTCCTCCCTCTCGCTCGCAAGCTCGCCCTTCTCAGCCCTGACGATCGCAAGCGCATCCTCAAAGTAATTTCAACAAACCCAACATTCCTTTCTCAATTATAATTACCTTCTTTCTGTTTTTGGTTTCAAACAACTCGTCATTCTTTTTGCACCTCCAGTGTTCGATTAAATGTCGCGCCCATTTGAACTCATTGGGGGTTCTGTTATTCTTATTTTCCTTTTTTTTTAATTGATTTTTAGGAGCATAACTTGGGAAGTGATGTTCCTTTGAAGAATCCAGAGAGAAATGTGTCATCTTTTGCAATGCAACTCAGATATGATCAAGGTCTGGAGTCCATTGAAACTAAACCAAATAGTGCAGAAATAGCTCAGAACTCGAGTTTATCACTGGATAATTTAGATGAAGATATGAAGGGGCAATTCAAGAATCTTGGGGCAGTGTTTAAGGAGTTAGGTTCTTGTATGATGGAGCTGGGGCTTTGTTTTGCACGAATATGTGATTGGGCCATTGGCGGGCATGAGCTCGAGCAAAGCTTATTGGAATCATGCTCTGCTAAAGGCCGCCTTATACATTATCATTCGACACTAGATAGCCTTGTTCTGAAACAGGCTGGAAGAAAAAGGGGGTCTGCTAAGAAACAGGCTAACAATAAGATAGTTGGCGGGAAAAAACACTCAGAAGGCTGGCACTTGGATGAAAAAGGTGATGAAGCAGGTCCATGTGGAATTCATTCTAACTTATGGCAGCAGTGGCATTATGACTATGGTATCTTCACTGTGCTGACTGATCCCATGTTTCTTTCAGCATCCCATTCGCAGGAGACAACAGCAGATGATGAGTATTTAGTATCTAGCTATGAAGAATGCGGCTCGCCCAGTGGGCACTCCTACTTGCAGATTTATGACCCTAACAAGAATAAGGTCCTAATGGTGAAGTCCTCACCCAAAAGTTTCATAGTTCAGGTAGGGGAATCAGCAGATATCTTATCGAAAGGAAGGCTAAGGTCGACCCTTCACTGTGTACGGAGACCATCAAAGTTGGAAAGCTTAAGTAGAGAAACATTTGTTGTCTTTTTACAGCCAGCATGGAGCAAAACATTCTCAGTTTCAGATTATCATATGGATCATGGTGGCTTTGGTCATCAGAAATTGAAGGAATCTGAGGAAGATGGACTCTCTAATCAGGAAGGAAATACATTGAGTCAAGAAATTCAAAAGATAGTTCCACCACTTTCTGCACGACTGAAGGATGGGATGACATTTGCTGAATTCTCACGTGAAACTACCAAACAATATTATGGCGGCAGTGGTTTGCAATCAAATCGATGAAAAGCTCCTTGGATTTTCCTGCTCTCTAGTGTCTAGATTTTAGTTTGTGGTAGGAATTCCAATCATTTCTCGTCTTTAATTCATATCAGGTATCCCACAATTTTGCACCCATTTTCAAGCGCATTCATGCTTGTATGGTTGCTTTGATTTTCAGTTTGTGGAAAAAATTATAAGCATTGGGATTTCTGTAATGTCATTTTTAAGCTCCCAGCAGCTAACTGTAGATATTCATTTTCATTTAATATTTGATGTTTCTCTACTTGTATTTTCATTTTCAGATACCATCATGTTCTGTGGATCTACAGACAGCAAAGCTTGAGTGGAAGATAGACCAAGTTCTTTGTGTCGCAGTCTTTGGTTTCTAATCTAAACACACATACAAGAAGTACACAATGTAAAGCTATGGAATTAATGGAATATATTACTAGAATTTAATTAATAAATAATTAGATTATTGGAGATTTGAAATTTTCCATCAAAAGCAAGAGAAAATAAGAATTTAATATTTGGTTTCAACCCAACCACAGAAAAATTGTTCTTTTGTGGCATCAAGGTCTTCTAGAATATCTTCAGAACTATGACAATGAAACTTTCTTGAATCAAGAGAATAATAGACAACACTCTTGCCATAGTAACGTGGGAGATAAACTCTGTTCTTCATTCCAAGGGTCGCAGGCTTGGAGAAAGATGAAAGACGACTAATATACAGTGTATGATTTCCTAGATCTCTCACTTCTTTCCAACGATTCTTTGAGTCAAGCAGCCTGAAAACTCGAACCCATTTTCCGAAGGAGTCCACAGAAACTGATAAAAGCTTCCCATCACATTCTAACAGACACAGAAAGACGTGGTGAAAGTGCGGCCAAGAAAAGGGAAGTTTGAACTCCCTAACATGTGCGGAGGCAGACCCTTCTCCATTTAAATAAACAGCTCCTAATTTTCCATGCTTAGTAAAAAAGTAGAAATTTCCATCATAAAATGACAGATTGTTGTCATAACAGATTTTCGTGTCACGGCCAAATGAGGATGCATAAATGCTCTTCCATTGCTTATCCTTTAAACAGATGAAGTCAATGTAAATAATTAGTTCAACATCGCATAGTAGAACAATGACGCAATCTGAAGAGTTGGGAGAAGTTGAGAAACCACATGCAGCAATCGCTCGACATTTATGGGGTAAATTGGGGAGCATAATGGTTTTGTTTGTGAAAGGATTCCAAAGGAATATGGAGTCTTCTCCTTGTAACATCACACACCAACCGTCACTTGAATAGCACATGATGACATCTTTCATTTCGTTGTTAGGGATGATAATGGGATATTTTTTGCAGCAGGTTGGATCAATGAAATTGCAAAGACTATCATAAGTTACCAAGGGTGGAAGAGAGGACCGGATTGGAGGTGCTGCCAATCGGCACATTTTGTTGGCAACTCTAAAACTCATATAGTCATGCAATCCAAGACACTTTGCAATCATAGATTGCACGTCTGAAGGAAGCTTACCAAAGTAAGCAAACTCTGCTTCTGCAACTTCCTCCTTATGGCTTCCTGTATCTCTCAGAATTTCAGGCTTTATCTTCCGGCTTCCACTGATTTGCCTTTCCACATAACTGCTCATGCTACACAGATTAATTAATAGAAATTAAGAGGAGCTGGACATCATGTAAAGATTAGCCAATTGCAGAAATAAAAGAGTGTGTACCTGTCTGTGTCTGGCATGATGTAGAAAGAACGAATATAAACATACTCTGACTTCTGAATTTTAATTTTTGAATGAGGTGAAGAAATTGAAACAGTCTTGTCTTCCATGTTGAATGAGTATATTGTATTATAGTATACATGGTTGCCTTCCAAACCAACTGCAGGGCAGGACAAGGAATTATCATCTAGCGAAACGAAAAACACACTGTCCTTGAAACTTTCCACCTTAATCCACTCCTTTCGGGGCAAGTCGAGTTTGTAAAGTTCCAAGGAAATTACTCGTTGCAGATCTGGGCAGCCATATACTCCTTTTCTACCTTGATTAATTGCATAAATTTCACCAAAGGATTCCACCAAATCTATTCTCTTTACACTTGCACGTTCCCCCCAAGGAATTTCCATGCCTGCTATACTTAGTTCCAGATGGTCTGACTTGATACCAAACACAAATAGTTCACGACTATCGTAGTTCATGGTATGAAAGTATAATCTTCCATTGCAGATAACAGGACTAAAGGGAAACCCTAATCCAGAAACATACTTTTCGGAATCGATTGGCATGGGCTGCACAGTCCATTGTTTATCCCCAATCCTGCAAAAGACGAAACAAGGAGTCTTTGTCTCAATTACAATAACCATGCAGTCGTCATTACCAGGAGGGGATGACAATATGCAGCGGCAATTGCAGCTAGAGCTTTCTTCTTGTTGGGGTTCGATACTGAAAGCTGGTAAATGTATCCGGTCATCAGTTAATGGATTCCAGAGAGAGAACCAATGCTCATCATGTTTCTTATGCTCTACACCTTTATGGATTAGGATTAGCCAACCATAGCAACAATGCTCAATTTCCTGAGGCAGCTCAGGAGGTATAACAATTTGTAATTGTTCTCCTGTGGGTGAGTGTAAAGTCAAATTCTCATCTTCATCAGACACCATCAACCAAGGGCAAGGTGGTGGAGTCCAAAGTTCCCGGTGGCCTGCTTCTTCCGCCATGTTTAAGGATCAGGCCCAGGCGCTGACGCTGAAAGAGATGGAAACTACCAAAGAGAAATTTAGGTTACTTGCTTTGGTTAGGGTTTATTTATCAGCAGGTTATATAAATTATTAGAATTCCAGGTTTCTTTTCCTAATAGGAAACGTATTCTTTTAGGTGGGTTTGGAATGGGTCAGTTTTTCATGAAGCCATAGAGCCAAATTCAGTTGGCTTGGCTCAGGGAAATCAATGGAAATTAATGCTGTTAAAGGAAAGTCCTACTTAATCTAATTCTGATCATAACCCCGGATAATTCTCTATTCAATCTTTGATATGATTCTTTGTATCTCTTGTATTAATATAATTGATTCGTACGATTCTTTCTGTTTATGTACACTAGAGCTGTGCCTCTCCTCTCTGTATATATATTAATTGATTCAATAAGAATATTATCGAGCCTTTTCTTCTAATAGTCTGTTGAATGCTAGTCATGGTTGGTTACATAAGGAATGTAATTGATTATAGAATTTTCTTGCTTTGTACCATAATACACCTTTTAACTATATAGAAAAATTAAAAAATTGATATTAATTTTAATATCAATTCTATATACATTAATTTAATTAGTTAGTTGTTAAAATTTAAATTAAATTTTATTTTTTATTTTTTATTTTTTGAACATGGTTACATTGGAGGAGGGGATAGAGGATAAGCGAAAGAAAATTTATAGAATTCAAAACTACAACCCACAAAAATGATCTCATTAATTTAAGATCAATATCGATGGAGTAGAACGTATTGATCTATTTTTTTATATAATTTAATAATTAAAAGGTACATTAATTGTATTCTTAGAGTACAAATTGAAAAAACACGTGATTAGTTGTAACTTTTACTTTAGAAATATTTTCTTTCAAGTTTTTTTGTTCAAAAAACTTTCTTGAAAAAGTTTGAGATATAATTGATTAGAAACAATTATAACTGATTGTACGCTTATTGGAATAAGGAATCCTGGAGAAGTGTTTAAGGAGATAGGCTGTTGTATGATGGAGCTAGGCTCTTTTTGCACGAATAATCCAATATGTAATTGGCACATTTGCTGGGAATGAGCTCGAGCAAAGCTTTTGGGAATCATGCTCTGCTGAAGGCCGCCTTATACATTATCATTCAACGCTGGATAGGCTTGTGCTGAAATAGGCTGCGAGAGAAAGAAGGATATGCTAAGAAACAGGCTAACAATAAGATAGTTGGCAGGAAAAAACACTCAGAAGGCAGGCACTTGGATGAAATTGGTGATCAAGAAGCAGGATCTTGTAGAATTCATTCCAACTTATGGCAGCAGTGGCATTATGACCATGGTATCTTCACCGTGTTGACTGATCCCATGTTTCTTTCAGCATCCTATTCAAGGGTGACAAACAGCAGATGATGAGTATTTAGTATCTAGATATGAAGAATGCAGTTCGCCCTATGGGCACTCCTAGTTGCAGATTTATGACCCTAACAAGAATAAGGTCCTAATGGTGAAGTCCTCTTTTGAAAGTTTCATGGTTCAGGTTGGGGAATCAGCAGATCTCTTATCAGAAGGAAGGCTAAGATCCACCCTTCCGTGTGTACTTAGACCATCAAAGTTGAAAAGTTTTAAGTAGAGATAGACATTCATTATCTTTTTGAATCACAAATTGAAGCAAATACTGAAATGACAGGGCATGGCGACTTAGGTCATCAGAAATTGTAGAATATGAGGAAAATGGGATCTCTAATCACGATCACAACACATCGAGTCAAAACATTCTATATGTTAATTATATAATGGATTAATTAAAGATGAAGATAAATAATCACTGAAAATGACAGGGCAGAGTGGAAGGAAATTAAATCAAAGAAAAATGAAATTTTGCAGCATGCAAAATGAGACAGAAACAACTTAAATCCAGTTGTTAATAATGTAGTCCCTTGGCAGGTGTTATGGTCCCAGTCCCCCCGGACCCAAACTGTCCTAGTCAGTTGGGGAAAAATTAAACTCAAGTAAAGAGAACATACACAAAAGAAACATGCAAGAAAACAAAAAAAACACTCTCATTCAATCCAACCATTTAATGGAGATGGGAACAGAATACCAGCATGTTTTTAACATGAAACTTTGAGATGTACACCGGCCAAAACGAGAGAGAGAGAGAGAGAGAGAGAACACAATCTTTTTTTTTCTTTTGGATCCTAAGACATTAAACATATATACTCTTTCAACCATCAGCAACTCTAAAAATAGTCAGCAGAGAGAGGAAGAGATTGATGATGTCCAGATACAAAGATACTGCAGCCCAAATGTACTCATCATACGTATAGCGCTTGATCAGGTTATCTGTGTCATATATGATGTACCCACAAAATATGATCGAGGCCAAGCAACCGTAGATCATCACTGATAACTTACCCAATGGGAAGAGTATCTGTAGCGAGAAAAGTTGCCAGGAACACATTACATGTAAATAAAAACTAGGAATTAAGGAGAAAAAGAGCATTCAAATGTAAAAATACCTGGATGAAAGCAAAAACTATGAGAACTAGGACAGCACCAAACAAGAAGGGTCCAAGGAAGCTGAAGTCATGGCCTCTCCTAGCAGCCCAGAATGTGTACAGAGTGAGACTCACAACAACCACGGCTGTCAGGATCACAGATTCCAGAATGACCTTGCCTAGAGCAAAATCATTAATAAATTTTGTTAACATTCAGCTATCCTATGAGTCCTACTTTAACAACTATAATGTGGCAATTAACAATTATAATATGGTAAAACATGACAACTATGACTTAGCAAAATATAGGCAAGGTTGTTACCTAATATGATATTAAGTTATTAACAGACCAAAAACATGTGCAAGTACAGCAGAAAAGGCAAATAAAAAGCAGCCACAAAGTAATCCCATATTCGCTGAATCAAAAACAAAAATAAAGGTCAAAAAGTAATCCCATTTTTTGATTATTTTCGTGTTTTCCTTAGACCTTCAAGGCCACTAAATATTGAATATGCCTACCTTGAGAAAACAAGGTTAACCTTCTCATATATATAATTAAACTCAACAGAGAAGTTTTTGAAATAGCAGAAGGCTACCAAACCTGTCCTCTTGACCCTAACAATCAGCTCCTAATCCATAAACTAGTGGAACACTTTAAACTGCTATGAATATGACTCTCATCCTCTAAGATAAAAAAACACACAGTATAAAGTTAAAGCAACCTTGTTATATGTCTACCCATTTAAGACATTTCATGCTGGGTCCATACAAAAGAGATCATTTCCTTTTTTTTTTTTTAGACTGTTGGGAATTGAACTAGACCAAATAAAGACAATGTCTTTAAAAGGCAAAATCTCCCCAAAACAATTAACAACATTGATTTTCCTAGATACCTTTCGAAATCATGTCCAATGCCCCAAATCCAACAAGAATTACCGTGAGACCAAACAGCATATGCCCACAATTCTAGTTCCAGCATACATATTACCACAAAAAAGAAAACCATTCTTCACAGAATAAAAAAATAAAAAATAAAAACCCTAAATTCAAACTTGCTGTTTGATCAAATAATTATATCCCAACCTTTAGTTCTTTCCTTCCTAATTCCTACTACCCCAAAACAGCAGCAAATCATTTTTCACATTCTTAAATTTAGGATCATGAGTTCCCTAAACATACCAAGGCAAACAATTAAAACAAGTTTGAAGTCAGTTTACTCAACAACCACCATAGTCCCATGCACTTTCACAGTTTCACTCATCAGCAGAAGTTCAATCGACAAATTCTAACAAATAGGGTTTCAGGATTCCACGAAAAGGAAATCAAGAGCCAAAATCTCACCGCTAGTAAATGCACAGGTCAATCCAACGACAAATGCCAGAGAAATGGTGAAAACCCCGAGCAAAAGATAGTTCACCGGATGTCTCTGGTGATAGTAGTACAACGGACACAACGCTGCAACAAGAAAACAACCAAATTAATCACCAATCCCTAATCGGAAACACAAAAGAAAGAAACCAAAAATAACACAAGATGAATTCAGGGTTCAAGAAAAGGAAACCTACTAATAAAGGGAACTAAAATGAGAACAATGTAGAGAGCAATCCCTACGCCAGTACTGACAAAGAAGTGAGAGATCGGATGAACGGAAACCACAACCGCTGCCACGACAATCGTGGCCATCAATTGCAGAGTTATGATCGAATAAACCTTCCGAATGAAGCTCCAGCGAAGCTCCGGACTCTCAAGCATCATCGGATACAGAGGCCTGGCTCCCGACTCCACGTCATCCTTCCGGTACGGCTGGTTCCACATCATCATCTTCCAAAAATCCCTTTGCCTTTGACTTCTCAACACCGAAAACGGATAAAAAACCGGTTTGCTTATCGAGCGTTTGGATAGAGGGAAAGTGGAAAGAAAGCGAGGGAAAAAAAAAATTTAGGGATCTGAGGGCGGGTCTGGTAGCGTAACCGCCTTTTATGGAGGTCGAGATCGAGAGGGATTCGCACGATCTTAGAACGCACCGTCTGTTTTACATGTCTCGCCAGTCGCCCCTCGGCCTGTTTGGATAACTTAACTAGAAACATCTCATTTTCTTCCGAAAATTTAAAAAGGTTTTTCTTGGTCCTTACATTTCTCAAAACTTTAGTAGATAAAGAGAAAGGTTGATGCTTTTAGAACAACCACTTATTGCTGCTGAGTGCATGGAATTCTATTCCCTTAATTAAAAACTTAAGTTTAAATTTTTTGAATAAAAAAAAAATGATAGAAGAAGTTTTTTTTAACGAGATTCAACACAATTCAATTACATATTAATTAATATTTAATATTATAATCGAATACAAAGAGATGAATACCAAAAATAAGTTGATGCTTCTAGTATTTATTTCTCTTTATAATTTTTTTTAATTTTTTTAAAGAAAAAAATTTTTACAATTTTTTATATAAGACTTATTTATCAATTTTTTTAATATGAAACTCCTTTAATAATTTTTTTTATTAATTTTTTATATTTTTATGTTAGTTTTTTATCAATTACAATAAAATTAATAAGCTAACAAGAGTTAATATAATATATTTGAATTTTTATATAATATTTTTATTAATTACATTTTATGTAAAAGCTTTCTAAAAAAATAAGATTTTTTTTTAACGGTCTATAATTTGAGAGAAAGGGAGAACGAAACCTCAACTAACAAATTTAAGTGTTTTAAGCCTTACAGCGAACCCCTGTATTCAAAGACTTGGTTAAAATGCTACAAAAAAAAAAAAAAAAGGACTTGGTTAAAAAAACAAGAAAGATAATAATAATAATAATAAGTATTTAACCAAACACGCGTTAGTGAAAAGAATATGCTTAGAAGTTTGAAGGAGGTTCCTTAATCGTCGCAAGGAAATTCCATTTCTGTTGCTTTCGTCTCTTGGAAGAGACTTGAAGTGTTTATTATGGGCCTCGCGACTTGTTTGGGCCTTGGGCTTCAAATTTTAAATTTCAATCTAATAACGATAAATTTTTTAATAATTTATATATTTTTAAAAAATTTTATGCAATTTACCATTATACAACTTAAACTATTAAATAACCACACTGTCTCTTTCAAATGGTTCCTTGGTTATGGTTCCTTGGTTGGCATCAACTTTTATTAGAATTTAAAATAATAATTTAACAAAAAAAATATTTTTATTGGCTTCAACTATTAAAGTTTAAATTAATTTTTTTTAAATAAAACTTTAAAAAAGCAATTTGCTTTAACTATTTTTTAGTATCAATTGCTTTAACTCAAAAGTATTAAGAGCAATTTGCATCTCCACTCAAAATTTTAATGTTTTAAAAGCTTAATATGTCTTCTCTTTTCTTTTCTTTTTTTGACCGGTTAAACAACGAAAAAATAAAATTTTTAATTTCTATTTTCTGTCTCGGCTTGGGCCTTGGTGTCATCATGGGTCAAAGAACCACTATATTAAAAGAGAAGATTTAGCACCAAACTACATGGTGAATTTGGTGGGAGTGCTAATGAATTTGTATAGAAGATCTTCAGATGTTACAATGAAATTGTTGATGTATGAATATATTTATACCAACGCGGTTTTCACCTTTTTTTGTTTTTTTAATAAATAAAGACAAGATTTCTAGATCTATCCTTTTTATTGCTTAATTGGAAAGGAAAAACATGAGAAATTTTAAAGTATCTTAAATGACTTGTAAAGGTTGATTTAGTGAATTGCTTTTCTGCATCCCATACCTAATGAATGGACCAATGGTGGGCTGTCAACGTTCCTTTAGCTTTCCACACATTCCATATTTAATACCTACACATTATTTTATTAAAGAGACATAAACATTGTTTAATTTAATTAAAATTTTATTAATTTATGATTTTTTAAAAAAATAATTAATTTTCATCTCTAAAAATATTAATTTATAAATTATTAAAAAAATAATTATTTTATTAATTATTAATTATTTGTAACACTCAAATTAAAAATAACTGTGTGACCTCCACGGTGCGGCCATAATCACAAACGTAAAACTCTATTTCAATTGCACTTTGAAGAAATTTCAAGAGCGGGAGTGAATGCCATTATTTTTTCAAATTTTCTTGGCTATACTTTTAAAAAACTATTTAATAGTGTATTAATCACACATTTTTTATTATGTTTAAAATTGAATTATTTTTTATATAAATTAATAAATAATATATATAATTAATGTGAACTTGGCTCATAAAGTCGAGTGACATCTGTCACTCTTATAAAAGTTCACTTTCCCCTCTCTCTGGGGACAACAGTTCAATTCAGTCTCATAACCATTGTTCAAAATATATATAATTAATGTACCCTTAATCTATACTCTAGACAAAAATTTTTTTTTTTATGGCAAGGTGTGTTGGATAAGTTTGCATGCACTATGATTAATTTCATTTTCAGTACTTACTAAAACTAAAGGCAAGAAATTTAAATAATGTTTATTTATCTTATGTCCTTAGTAATAATTATCAAATAAGAATTATTAGTTTTTAAAAATATTAAAGTTAAGTTTTATTTTAATTATAAATATCATGTATTAA